GGTTCCCATCCTTGAGAGGAGAATCTCAGGGCAATTAGGTTATTCAGATGATAATCATCTGAACACTACCTTCCCTTTTTTGTGGTGGGCTCCAAATCTCAGGGTTCTGTTAGAGAATGAGAATTTTTAAATTACAGAGACAAGACAGCAGACAATTTACTCCAGCTATCCTTTGGAAAATTTAAAAAGTGCCTGGAAAACATGCACTCTTGGAAGCGAGACTCCAGAATCTCACAGCCGTGCTGGTGGGACAGTTTTGGAAACAGAGCAGAAAATGCCTCATTTCTTTCTTCTAGATTACTCCAGCTAGTGGAAGAGGCTTCTGGTCCAAGAGGATCGGGGGACCCAAATGTGGGAATCACTATTATAGAGGAACCTGGGAAGCCTGCCAGATCTGAGAGTAGGCAGAGGTCACCCTCATACACCGCCTACGATCCACCACAGAAGCACAGCTTCACCTCAACCATTTAGAAAGTCTCATAGCTGTCAAAGCGTTCAGGTAGTTACCCATAATCCCACTGTCTTGTTTTACATCAACAAGCAACGAGGAACACACTCATTTTCTCTCCTTTACTTTCTCCCCAGTGGTCTTGCTGAGGAAATCGTATTGCACTCGCCACATCTTCCTGGTTGCAGTCCACATTGCAACAGAACACAACGGGCCAGCCGAGCAGACTCCTTCTCTGCAGCCACAAGTGGTGTCTGGATGGCAAGGTGTTTTGCCTTCTATGCTACTGGAGGAGCACCCCCCCAGATGAATATCTTTGCATCTCCTGCCAAAACAAAATGTAACCAGTACTGTTCCAAAGCAGGAATGGGACCCACATCGATAGGAGATGCCATTATGAGCGTGTGGTCCCTGAGGCTCCTGTCCCTCTTTTCTCCCTCAGTGCTTCTCCAAAGCGTGATCATCTAGATCCAACAAGACAATTCCAAGGCTTTGATCATCACCCCATGGTAAGCCCTGGCAGCCGTGATTCACAATCCTCTCATCTCTTGGCCCTTGAATTTCTCCACCTCCCATGGATGCCACATTTCTTGACACTGGACCACGGCAGAATCTTCCCTCCTCTGTGCCCCAGGTCTTGGAACAAGCACGAAAGCTTTCCACCACTGTTCAATATACTTGCAAGTGGAATGTCTTCTCCAAGTTGGTGTCATTCCATAGCATATCCATTGCTCCAATGACCTTGGATGCCAGCCTTGCATTCCTCCTGCCCCTCTTCAAGCAGGGACTGTCCCACTCTGCTGTCAAAGTATAGATCACTGTGATTGTTGCACATCCACCTCAAAATGCAGACTCTGCCTTTCTCTTCTGGCATTTTTCATAGGGTCTGAAGTAACAGACGTCTGTGGGAAACCACCTTGGTCAGACCGTCTACCTTTGCTACCCGTTCCAGAGAGGTTTTTCGAGCCAAGGCCAATGCTGCATTTGGTTGAGTCGTCCTAGCCTGTGCTTTGCTGTAAGGACCCACCACCGGGTAAGTCAGCTTGCTAGTACCCCATTTCTGTGCATTCCCAGAGACCACAGAGCAGAAAGAGAAACTCTTGGAGGGGTCGTCTCTGAATCCCCACTTCCTGCCCCGGTTCCTCCCCCCCTGTCCTTCGCATATGTCCTTGTGCCTGCTGGACAACATAGGAATCTTCTTTGCAGGTCGGGTAAGTCAGCTTGCTAGTCCCCCATTTCTGTGCATTCCCAGAGACCACAGAGCAGAAAGAGAAACTCTTGGAGGGGTCGTCTCTGAATCCCCACTTCCTGCCCCGGTTCCTCCCCCCCTGTCCTTCGCATATGTCCTTGTGCCTGCTGGACAACATAGGAATCTTCTTTGCAGGTGAGGCTCCCAGGCCACGGGTGGAGAAGGAGCAGCTGGAGGGAGGTCCTAGCAAACACCTGGAGATGCTCTAGTTATTTCCAAGCACTTCCGTGCAGGTGCAGGATGACTTTTCTCTGTAACCAGGTGCCTAAATCACTGAGCAATCCAGCCAAGCAAAAGAAGCAGATCAGTTCAACTCCTTGTATGACACAGTTGCCAGAATTGCCTGTGGTTTTGAAAGTTGTCACACTTTTTGCTCTCAAGAATCCTTTCTAAGTAGGTTCCTAACCTTCCTGATTCTGTTTCCTGGGGTTTTTCTGATTCTCCAAGAGCTATATCTTTCCAGGCTCCTGTCCCAGAGCGACCCACTCAGGCAATAGGTGAGACCCAGGTGGAGGAACTGAGCTCAATGGAGCAGGGGGCGGCCGTCCTGGAAGCTGCAATGATGGGCCAGAAGGAGAGTCCAAGCATTTCGTCTGATGGTGGAGAGATTCCTAAACTTCCTGATTCTTTTTCCTAGGTTCCTTTGTGTTGACTGCTTTGGTGATCTTTCAACTCAGATTTGATGGATTCTTGGAAACAGCGACTGGATCTCTTGCTGAGAAATGGCCCTTTTTCGAAATTCCGCCACCCGTGGTCTCAGGTGTGCATCAGGTAAATGTGAGGAGTAAGTCTCCTCTGACAGCATGGCTTCCATTTTCCATTTTCATCTGAGCCCTCTGTCTTCGTTTCTCAAGGCTACACATGTCCACTTCTTTCCATCTTTCCTCATCGGGCTTGGTTTCCAGAAATGAATGGATTATTGTAAGTTCTTTATGAAATACTCAGTTTCTCAAGCCATTGCAAGACAAGCTATTAAAGAATAAATAAATATAACTGACGCTGTTAATTTAGAAGTGGATCAAGTTTTTACTTGCTCATTATTCATTGATTGATTTTTCTGGGGCTTCAATGGTGAGCTCAGAACCCTGGCATAAGATGTTGAGTCTCACTGGTAGGGACAGAATTTAAGAGATTTGTTTATGGAGTTCCAGAAAAAGAGAAATACTTAATTGGCATCCAGAACTGAACTTTGAATTCTCATACAAAGTTATTAGACCTTGGCCACTTTCTGTCAATAACTTCAAAGCAGTGTCATCATTCCAGGAGTTTCCTCTGGAGCACATGATCATCAGGGCCAATAAATTCTTCGAACTAACATGTTCCCATTTGTGGCTTGGTTTGATCCTTCCAGCAGCACAATGAAGCCACTACTGAACTCATGGCTTCTCTTGAGCCTGCTTTCATCTGGTGACTGGTACCGAGAACTCTTGTTAAATTCCTCCTGATATTTTGGGAATAGAGGTAGAGAATTATTCAAGAAAGCCAAAGAAAGAACGCAAGAAAAGAACTGAGACCTGTGCTTTGAAAGGAAGAGGAATAAAGCCAAGGTCAGCCATAGGTGTTATATTTCTGAGAGCATTCAAAAAATCCAGATGCTGTAAGAAAAGTCCTCTCTTTTGTAGACAAGAAATAATCTCTTATGGAAAAGATCCATGGAAAGAGGGAGGAGAGAGAAAGAAAAGAGAGAAGTAATCACATTTTAATTTTTTTAATTAAAAGTAATTTTAATAAGTATTTTTTTTATTTAGTAGTGAGCAGGGATGGGGACTTGAGTCGTGGAACTTGCTAGCAAGTTGGACTTAAGTCATGCTGGTGACTTGATTCAGGGTTTGTTTTCAATGACTTGGATTGACTCATGACTGGGACCCCCACCACCACTCCTCCTTTTATATCTGGGGGGGGGGAGTGTCCCAGTCTTTAATAGGGACTCAGACTTGGGACTTGGGACCAAAGGCTCAGACTTGGACATGAGATCTGGACCCAAAGACTTGCCGCCACCTCAGGCAGTGAAGGCAAGCTGTCCTGCTCTCCCCTCAGCCGAGTTTTTTGAAGAAACTCAATGGGATGCAGGAGGTGGGGGGGAGGATAAATGATTATCCTGGACAAGTTCTTGGAAGATATTGATGGTGACACATCTTTCTTCCTTATTCATATCAGAGGATTGAACAATTTAAAATTATGGGCTTTTATAAAATGTGGGTTAAAAATTAAAAGGTTGGAAATGATTGTTAGTTGTGGTCCTAAAAAGGACGGCTGGGTCGTTTTGCTTATCGGCAAGTTTGCAGAATAACACTTCTGGAAGTGAAGGACTGGCCGGCTGTACCAGGGGATGCCCAGGTGTGTACACACAGTGCTTTCCGCTCTTTGGAGAGTTTCTTTGTATGGCCCCCCTCCCCCATTACGCTTTTGAAGGGAGTGGAGAACATTCTTGCACTTAAATGAATTCAGACTCGGAGGAGCATCATGAGTGTTATGCTCAAGCACCTTTTAAAAATGTAGTTCTGCTGTTGTTTTTTCCTGACCATTTGGTATCTAAATGGGCAACACTGTGATTTTGTGACCTCTCTTTTCCTCCCCCGCTCCATCGACTCTACAGGGGTATCTCTCAAATGTCAGTTTTGTCAGGACATGAGCGCAACGTGTACAACTGAAACCACTCAGGAGTGTCAATCCAGTCAAGACCCCTGTGTTTCGGCTGTCTCAGAAGTCACCATGAGTAAGTCAGCTGAAGCTTCTCCCCTACAGCCAAAGATTTCTATCAACCACAAAACGCTGGGGGTGTAAGGCGCCGCCCTTTGACTTCACATGTAGGCTAAAGCTTCTAAATTGTTTCTGCTGTTCTATCCATTTCTTGAGTTAAAACTCCACCTCTTGCATATGGAGCCAGTCAGAGCCACTATGGTGCAGTACACACAAAGTTAGATGTTAGGGCTCTGCAGAAGGGTTCAAATCCCTGTTCAGTCCCAGAAATTCACAGGGGGGCTGGCAATTTCACATCATTCCTTCACCACCTGATGTGCTAAGGTTGCTATAAGTTGGAAGTGACCTGACAGCAGAGAACACTAGATTATGTCATTAGCACTCGAACTATTGTGGTTTCTCTGGTCAGTTTTTATTAGACTAACTCAGGAGCCATAAAAAGACTTCAAAGTCTTTTTAAACAACTCACAGTATTGCAGCGTAGTTCCTGCATGGCCTTGAATTTTCCTTGAAAGAGTCTCAGTCCTTTCCAAATATTGTGTTGCTGATAAACTCCCCCGGGAGACTCAACGCTTCTTGCTCTCTTTGGCTCCAGGCACCACTGGTAAGCAAAGTTCTTTAATAAAACAACTTGAGCAGTTGAATGCTTTGTAGGTATTAAAAATAAAGATTAAAGATTAAAAAGGGAGCAGAGCTTGATACCAACGCTGTTCCTCCCTCAAACCGGAACCGGAACCCACCCACCCCTAAAAAGACTGCAAATCTATGATAGAAGATAACAGCTTTCCTCAGCAGGCATGATGTGACAAAAAGCTGGTGGGGAGAATCTTGATGTTCAAGCCATGTAGTCTGCGTGCTGTTTTAGAAATGTAATGATAAGAAGGAGAACCGTAATGGTAAGGAAAGAATTAAGAACAGCAAACTTGCCCAGATTTTTATGCCTTTAAAATAATAATCATGTGCCAATTCTGACTTATGGTAACCTGTTTGAGGATTTTCTAGGTAGAGAATACTCAGAAGTGTTTCCCTTCTTCTGGGGGCGCCCCTGGGACTGTGCAGATTGCCCAAAGCAACTAGGGTGGCTCTTCTCCCAGGAGGCACCGTGGGA